AAGCAGTATCGAATAGAAAAAACCGAAATAGAGAACATATACGTCTCAAGAAAGTTCCACGTAAGAAAATGGGGTATAAAATGGATGGAATATTCCGAACTTATTATAATAACATTGAATATGGAGCAATGGAAGTAGGGAAAAAATTCGATGCAACGAAATTGTTAACTGATGGGTTCAAGCTTGGCAAAGCCATGCACGATATTTTTGTATGCTTATGCGAATTAGTTCGATATGACGAAAGTCAAATAAGGAAACTGCAAGTTGCGGGCATTATTCATTTAGGTTTGTAACAGTGTCTAAAATTTGAATATGCAGATCCAATCAAATTGGTTGATTTTAAAAATCAGGCAATATGAATTGATCTGCACATTCGAACTTTAAATATAGTAAAATAATTTTAGTTTTTTTGTACTACATTTTTTAAAACAACTTAATTATTCGAATTATAGGTCTTAAACTGCAAACCTTACAATTAAGCAGTCCTAAAGGATACGTTTCAATATTAAAACGAGATAAACTTTACGAAGTACCAAATACAGTTGAAAAAATGAAAGACCTAATTAGAGTGTTGGCTAGCATGTGGAGAGTAAAGGTGTGTTTTTATTTATGTATTAAGATTTATTAGTGTAATACTAATTTTTGTTATCTACAAATAGAAAATCATCACAGACTGTATGGAGACAGTTAACACGAGTATTCAAGATCCAGCTGAGTTCTTACAAGAAATAATCGGCATAGAGTCGCCACTATCTGAAATAGACTTTCCATGGTCTATTGATTCCATGGTCTATTGATTCCATGGTCTATTGATTCCATTATGATATAATATACTATATACTGTAAATGAAAATTTTATTAATTTACATGTATCTCCGGTTTTTCTTTTAACAATAAATCTAAATTTGGCGTAAAAAATTGTATTTATGGATATTTTTTGGTTCATTTCCATTATTAAGTTTCTGAACACATGTTATGTATACTGGCAATTATAAATAATGCTGCTAAAAAAAAATTTTTATTAGATCGTATTATTATAAAGTGCAAATACAAGATCCCCCATATCGATATATCATACCCACCTTTATTTTTTACTAATTCTTTTTTTTATCAATTAATTTTTTGGGTGAAATGTGAGATCCGGGTCTTGTATATGCACTTTTATAGTATTTCACACATTTAGGCAGAAATTATGCAGATTGACATTTTAAAAAAATCAAATACCTTAATTTCACTGCTTATATCTCAATGAATTTCGAAGCTGTTCTAATAATATTAAGATATGAGTAGGGATGTTATCTAGTCTGGTCTTGGACCAATAGACCATGGTTCGTCATATGACCGGTTTGAACCTGATCCTATTTGGTATAGTCTCAGTCTAAAAAAATTAGACTATAATCCGGACAAAAATTTTTAACCGGTTTAAGATTAATTACAAATAAAACTATAGTTTGAACCATGGTTTTAAATTGGCTTCAAAACCATGATTTAAATTATAGTATTAATTTGGCTCCAAAATCATGATTCAAATCATGGTCTTAAATCGGCTCCAAAACTATGATTCAAATCATGGTCTTAAATCGGCTCCAAAACTATGATTCAAATCATGGTTTTGGAGCTGACTTAAGACCATGGTTTGAATTAAAATTTTGAAGTTAATTTAAGATCATGGTTTAAACTACCATAGTTTGAATCATAGTTTTGGAGCTGACTTGAGAGCATGGTTTGAATCATAGATTTGAAGCCGATTTAAAGCCATGATTTAAATCATGGCTTTGAAGCTAAGTTAATACCATGATTTAGATCATGGTTTTGGAACCGACTTAAGACTATAGTTTGAATCATGGTCTTAAATTGGCTTCAAAAATCGTGGTCTTAAAACGGTTTCAAAACCATGATTCAAACCAAAGATAGAACCAAAACTAAACTTATTTAAAAAGTTATTTTATTGTGATGCTGTATACTAAATTACAAGAATATGTGAAAGTCATAGTTATAATATTAAAATATGTGAAGTATTTTTTTAACAAGACAAAAAAGCAAGTACTAACCCAAAACCAGGAAAGCCTTCGTTCGGAGGGACCATGTTCTGAGCCTATTCAAAGAGACAATTTTAGAATTATCGAGAAGGTTATTGTCCTTTTTCTTGCGATAACTTACAAGGCCATTCGACATCCAACTCCTCCATGTACTCGCTCATAGTAATGTCATCGTCCAGTAAATCAGACATTTTTGTTCTTTTATTGTTGAAGCATCCGGAAAAGATTTTTGCTTGTTAGATCTTTAGATCATAGCTACGGGTTAATGATTTCTGGATTAATTAGTGCGCTTTACTTGGAAATCACATAGAAATGTTTCTCTCAATATATTTAAAACACTTTTAACATAAAATATTTATATAAAATAATTAAAAACGTCTGGCCTAGAATAGAATGAGAATTTCTTTTAAGAATATGGCTATAAATTATAATTAAACCACTATCGAAAAATTTGCTATACTCGAGATTACATGGATGCGTTTTATTTGTTAAAGTAATTGTACTTGAAGTATTTTGCATATGTATATAAAATTTTGATTATACTTCGTTGAACACACATGTGAAGAGTATGTTTAATCAAATCGTTATAATTACTTTTTTAAAATTATATTGACTACGTACAAAATGGCTAAGCCATTTTCTAATTTAAAAATGAAGTATTGCAATTAATAATGATAATTGAAATAAATTGCAAAACATGCATAGATTTAAATATACGCGTAAGTTAAATGCGTCGTAATAATTTCTTTATTAATCATAAATTTATACATATTGTAATATTTAATTTCAAGTAATTCTATACATATATGTTATCTGTATTTGGGTAATTACTTTTGATTACAGAACAATATCAAATGCCGACTTAAAGCATCAAATTTTTCTAAGATAACTTCAAGATAACCACCTATATTAATGCCAAAATATTAAATTACACCTCGGGTGTTATTTCGAGGTGTTTCAAGATGAATATTTAAAAAACAAAGACAAGAAAAGTTATTGTTTCTTAAACACCTGAAATCGTAAGTATATCTTTATAAATGATGTATTAGACGAGATCTTAAAAAGACAACCACACTTTGTAATTTAATGGTTTGGATATCAAAAATATTTTGTACTCTATTTAGATATTTACAACAATAAAGCTGAAAAAACTAACATAAATGAATTATATGAGAAAAATTGCCAGAGTTTTTTCTTTATACACTCGCATTATTTGCATTCTTTTTTGAAAATATACAGTATAAGCCAGTTATTTTGATGTTGAAATTTGTTTATTTGTAATTGTGATTCATTTATTATCTTTAACATTTAAAGATGCACTATCAACCAATTTTTTGAGCAACTCATAGTTGACTTAGTATGAATTTGTATTGGATAAAGGTATATTTGGGAAACTTTTTTTTTGAAAATTTTTTGATAAACGGCTAACATTTTCGATTTCAGAGTTCAGATTTAATGTTTTACTTAGGTTTAGAACATGCATTTTTTAGAAATGACTGATTTATGAAATTGGCATCTGAGTTTATTTCATATTTGGGAAACACTTTTTTTGATAAATGAAATTAATTGGTTATGTTCGATTTAACAGAAGGAACCGTCGATGTTACACACTGATCCTTCACCCGGTGTGCAACATATAAAAAAATTATTTTACAATACCAGATCATTCCGCTAGTACGTGTTATGATTATAATCCCACACCATTTTATTATAATAAAAATGGTGTTGGATTATAATCATAACACGTACTAGCGGAATGATCTGGTATTGTAAAATAATTTTTTTATATGTTGCACACCGGGTGAAGGATCAGTCGTGTAACATCGACAGTTCCTCCTGTTGTTCGATTTACGGGGTTCAGATTTAATAGTTTACTAATATTTAGGAAATGCTTTTTTGAAAATAACTAATTTATAGAGTTGGTAATAATTGATATGAATTGCATAACCCTGATGGTCTCTTTATATAAGATAACGAATCTCTAATTTTCTCCACAATTCTGACTGAACATTTGTAAATCCGTCTCTGATTGGACAAAGTAAGTTACGCCACTTTTCGTCTACTAATCAAATTATAAGATCAGATGTAATATAAAATTTTCGAGTTTTTTAAAAAAAATCTTTAAAATTTTAGTATAACTAGCTAATAGATCATCTTCCAGTCCCCACGTGCTATATAATAATAATTATTTATAATTTATAAAATAAAAAGTATGTGTGACACTCAGGGTGGTATACCACCCATCTAAATTAAATAGTAATTTGATGACGCACATCACCTTAGGGTTAGGGTCAGTTAGTCAATTTAGTATTTAATTTAGATAGGGTGGCAATAAATTATTTACCACCCTGGGCACCAAGGTGACTCCTTTATAAAATTTATACATAGTTAAAAAAAATAAAAATAAAAAAAATTATAAGTAAAATAGTTTAATATTAATTATAATTAATGATTAATGTGTTATATATAGTTTGAAAATTTTTGTGTATTGGATTATTTAAAAAAATTAATTTGTATTCATATGGGCCGATTTGAGTAATTTATAAGTAGAGCTTATTTTTTTAAAAACTTTAAAGCTAAATAATTTTGATCTACTGGTTCTTTTTAAATAATTTTACTACCAAAATATTCATCTCTTTGAGATAATTCTAACAAACCTAAAATTATTAAAATCTAATCACGGGATCATGAAAAAATGCACTGTCAAATAAAGTGATGCATCTGTAAGGTGGATCAATTAGTTAGATTTATATCTAACTAATTGATTTATTTTACAGGCATGTCACTTTATTTGACAGCATATTTTTTATGATCTTAAAGAGACAAACATTTTAGTAGCAAAATGATTTAAAATAGACCAGTAGATCAAAAGTTATTTAGTTGTAAAATTTTTTAAAAAAATAACTCTATTTATTTTATTTTATAAGTTGCTAATATATTAGAGTGTTTGAATAAAAAAGTTTTTATAATTAAATTTTAAGATCTGTGTTCTATATTTTATTTTGACTTTAATTTCTTTATATTATTTAATTTTTTAAATTTTATAAAAGTAAAATATTTAATTAAAAGTATCTTTATAAAGTAATAATGTCAGAATTTTATCTTATATATCATAGTTTACTAGAATGTCTGTTATTATACAATTTTTGTAACCACATAGGCTACATAATAATTCATTGATTGAGTTTTTTTATAAAATTTAAGAGATTGTTAAAAGAGTTTTAATAAATATAATTTTATCTATAAAGATTTAATTTTTATTAAAATTTTGTCAATAATTTGTTATGTAATATACATGTAATCTATATTATATTTATAAATCATATAATAGTAGATATTCAGATAAATTGTAAAATATTTTAAATAGTAAGATAAAATTATATCATTATTATTTTATAAAAGTACTTTTTATTAAATATCTTGATTTTATAGAATTTAAAAATGTTAGATATTAGAAAAATTTTTTTTTCAGTATTAAGATAAGGTTTTGCCTTGTATCTTTATTAAATATTTGTCAAGTATTTGCTTTATATAGCTATATATCTATCTTAAGAATACAGACTTAGACAATTTTATCTACGACCTAAACCTATCAAAGTATACTATGTTTTCATTATATATTGGGTTATACCTGGATTTGGTGTTCAGACTATTTCTAATTACTTACCATATTTATTCTATATCTTACTATTAAATTTTGATTACTTCCAAATTGGTTCTTTCAAAGAATTAGTCTTTTTTGACCTTCCAATTTGGTATGTCTGTTATTAGAATTTCTAGTATTAGTATACAGATAGCCTCTTATATATATTTTTTAAGCCAAGTATCTGCTGCTGCCACTAGTTCTACATGAGAAGCATTAGTATTACATATTGAATCTGAGGACTTATCTAGTATTTGTACTACTTAGTTCATATAATACCTTATTAAAGTGGTTATATTATGTTATCTACTGGTTTGCATCTCTTTATACAGCATAAATGCTCTAGATCCTTCTACTTACTACCCCAGATATACTAACCTTGTATCTCAAGCCAGATCCTGCTACTGCAGCTAGTTTGCTATCTCTAGATCTTAACATTTTCTTAGTTATCTAGTGCAATATATATCACAATCCCTTATATACTCCCTTATATAGTATATTGTCAGGACCCTTAGTCATAAGGACCTCTGAGTTGTACAGTAACTACAGCACTACACACTTCTAGTTGTTCGTACTAGTGCATCCAAATCTTTTTCATCATAGACTTCTATATAGATGTGACTAGAGTTTCGAATTGGTACTTTTAGATGTACAGTATAGATTACTTTTTCTCTATGCTGAGTATCCTTCTATACCATATATTGCCGAAAATAAGCCACCTCCGAAAATAAGCTACCTTTCTTTTTTGGAAGAAAAACATAAAAACGT